ACGCCTGAAGAGACTCGGTCACAGAGCCTATCTGATTCACTTTGAGCAGAAGGCAGTTGCAGGACTTCTCATTCACAGCCTTGGCAATTCGCTTGGGGTTGGTCACAGTGAGATCGTCTCCTACCACCTGGATCCCTGAACTGGCAGTGAACTTTGTCCAGGCGCTCCAATCATCCTGGTCAAAGGGATCTTCGATAGACACCACTGAAGAAGAGACCAGTTACATCAGAGTGTGACCCTCCAAGGATGCTGAAAATACCCATGGAGCCTCACTTCCTTCCTCACACCTCTCCACACACAGCTCCAACTTTTCCCATGGAAACCCTTCCCTGTCAACCTGTACCTACAGCTGGCACAAGTTACCCTCAATTCTGGGCCACTGAGTGTTCAACAAAAAAGGGGGAATACTGTTCTGTGTGATCTGCATTATGACTATTAAAATAAGAACAGCGCAACATATTTGCTAATTTAAAGCAAGCTATTTATCATATTGGTTAAATATGGGACTGAGATCAGATTTTTGGCCTGAAATCTTGCTCTGTCATTTGCCGCCACTGGCCAAGTGATGAAACTGCCCACCCTGTGAGCGCTAAATAATGCAAAAAAGAAAGCAGCTCTTGGGTTGTCTGTACAATGATGGGTGTACCTGCTTTCTAAAACCATTGTGACAATGACAGAAAAGTGACCACACTTTAAGTTTCTTAACAAACATGAACACTGCTGGCACTGGAAGGGCAAACTCCCGATTCCTATGCTGTACACAAGGAGCTCCTACATGCGAGGCCTACAGCAGCATCAGAGAAGTCCCACCTCCTACTGTGACCATCTCTAACTAGCCGGGTGCACTTCAGTGGAGCATATTCCAGTCAGTGGATGGGTGGGCCCACTCACCTGGGTAGTCCCTGATGAAGGACTTGTACAGGTCTCCCAGCTGGTCAGGTGAGATGTACCTGCTGGGGTCATCAGGAGACTTAAAGTCCAGGTCGTACTTCCCAGAGCGGAAGAACTCTGAGGCAGCAACGTCCATGCCAATCACCACCTTGTCAGTGTAGCCAGCTTTCCCAATCGCAGTCTTCAGCAGTTCCAGGGCTGGGGAGGGATGGTGGCCATACATTCAGGGAACAGATATAAAGCTACTCTCTCTCCTGATCAACCCAAGCTGTGCAGTCAATTCTGACTCAGGGAAAACGGAATTTCTGAGCCTGTAAATCCTTCCAGCCTAGCTGTCTGCAAGAGCACTGGTGGATCGGAATTGGTCACCTGAGCTCAAGTTTTTTCTTATCAGATGCCAAATGAGCAGCATTCTGTTACAATCTAAGAGAAAGTGTGACAGCATTAGTTTTTTTTTTTTTCAATTGTATTTTTTTACGTGTACCATCAAATCAGATATGACTGGTACAGGAGGAGATTGCCTCCTCCTTCTCCAGCAGAGCATCTGGTGGATTTGAACCACATACCTCTGGGATTGCAGTGCAGCATCTTGCCACTAGGCCACCAGAGCTCCCTCAAACATTTTAAGTATTTTTTTTTCTGCTTTGAGGCAAGAAACTTGCTCACTGCTTCCAAAGCACCACTAAAGAACATCAATTCAATGGCAATTTGCTCTTCCTTTAAGTGAGAGGTATTTTCCCTCCTAAATCAAGCTCAGAAGTGAATTCCTGTGTTGTGACTTTCTACTCAATTGTTCCTCTTCCCTCCAAAGTGTCAAAGAAAAAGGCCGCTTTGTGATTCTACCCATTAAAGAACCCTTTCTGGTTGGCTAGATGGAGCAGGAATACTGAGAAGCATCTATCACCTCTAAAATATTTTATAATGCATAGTAACTAAGAAATTCCTTGGTATGTCAGGACCCTTTACCTTCTTTATTCTCCAGGATATTAGGGGCAAAGCCACCTTCATCCCCCACATTGGTGGCATCCTTGCCGTACTTGTCCTTGATGACGTTCTTCAGGTTGTGGTAAACCTCAGCCCCGATGCGCATGGCTTCTTTGAAGCTTGCTGCTCCGACAGGGAGGATCATGAACTCCTGCATAGCCAGCTTGTTGCCAGCATGAGAGCCACCGTTGATGACATTGAAAGCCTAAGGAGAGGCAGAGAAGAGATGGTCCAGCACCCAGCCTGGAGGGCCCTACACAGCTCACAAGTGAGGGATTAGACACGGTCACAATGAGATACTGTGATAGTGAGAGGTCCCTTTTATATCTCAGTGTGCATTTTGGGACTAGATGTGGTCACAATATCCGAGATACTGTGATAGTGAGAGGTCCCTCATGTCAGTGTGGACTTGCTATTTATGTTCAGTAATGCTGCTCTCAAAGCAGGTAAGTTATTTCTCCCCCAATATAAAGGTCACTCTTAGGGACACACGCAAGGGCTGGTTAGCCTCCCACAGCAGAGATGTGATCATAACACTATCAACAACCCCATTCCCTACCCAAGAAGTTCAAATAAGTAACTCACGGGAACTGGCAGAATGACTTCAGAATTGCCGGCCAAGTCAGCAATGTGCCGATACAGGGGGACCCCCTTCTCAACGGCTCCAGCCTTGCAGACAGCAAGAGACACTCCCAGAATGGCATTGGCACCAAATTTTGCTAGAATAGGAAATGGTCATTAAATGATATTTTTAATTTCTCTACCTTGTTCCTACTGGCCTTTCCCTATAGGTACCTCCTGGATGCCCCCTGACTGAATAAAGACCTCTTTCTCCTCATGTCTTTTCCCAATGCACAAATTAGAAATGCAAACAATATTCCATGTGGTTCCATCCCAGTGTTCTCCTCTAAAACAAATATTTTAGTGGTTAATTGAACTACAACAAAATTTCTAAATTGCTTGAGTGTAAGTTAGTAATCCTGATCATGCTGCCGATACCCAGTGAAGCTCCTGATACTCAGAGGCTCCCATTACGTTTATTTCTACGCACTGTCTTTCAAAAAAAATCGTCTTTTTAAGGTCTAAGCAGATTCATACCCCACTGTGGTCAAAATTCACCAGGGTCACTCACATTTATTCTCAGTTCCATCCATCTCAATCATTAGCTTGTCAATCTTCTCCTGTTCCACAACATTCAGTTTCTACCAGGCATAAGAGACAGTTAAGTTTAGTGGGAGGAACTCAGAGCCACTCTACTTGCATTACCTGTGCATTCCTACTTCAGGGTTTAAAAAACCTTGGGAGCCATATGAAATCACACAGGTCACAAATCCATTTATAGGCACAGGGCAACACCAGGGAGACAGGCATTGCCTTCATGGGAGGCACTTTTCTAAATACTAGGGAGTAAATGAGGAAATACTCAGGAATAAAATTAAGGCCCTTTCATCACAAAGGTGACCACAGTTGGTGACAAACGTAAAGATGGTCTTTATAAAACATTATCACCAAGAACCGTCATTTTGCACAAATGTATGTTGCAAGGTCTTTTGCAGATGGCCTAATTCCCTCAAGTGTTAGTTTCCTAATCATGCAACATGCATCATTTGCACAGGCATGTTATATGCCCCCAAATGGTGTCTTTTGGGACAATGGATAAACATTCATTATTCTAACAGTATGTCAATAGTACTGTCTGAGCTCTCTCATAAGGTAGTAAATTGCCTCTAAGACATCTTTCTCATGACAAAGGTGATTTCCCCCAAGTAGCCAAAAGTAATTTAGCAAAATATCTGAGAGTTAAAAGGAATATTTTTTGTGAGGCAAAACTAATAAACCCAACAATCTTTTTAAGTCTTGAAAAGTAGCTCAAAAGAAATATTTCTATACAACTTGGCATTGCTTAAAAAACTTGTTGACTGGTGTTCCTAATACTCAAACATTTTGTCTGAGGCCATATCTCATTAATAGTTCAGGTCTCCCTAAGGAAAAAAAAATGTCAATGAAAACCCCACCCTTGACACTAGTCAAGCCATGTGAGTGCTGAGAAGAACGCAGTGTGCACCTAGGCAACCAGGAGGCTGGGTTGGATGGTGCACACAGGAGGGTAGCAATAAGGAATTTGTCTGGGGACTAATCCGGCAGGGATCAATTAGAGGGTGCCACAAAGGCAGGGCTAAGATAAATAAGCCAGGGAGAGATAATAATGAGAATCCATTTGTCTGTGGTTACAGGACAAATCCTTGGAGGCAGAGTGACTAGGCCGTGACTGCTCTGAATTTGAGTGTCTCTACAGACAGGTTTCAAAAGCACCCCCTTTCTCAGCGTAACAGCAACTACAGTGCAAGGGTGGGAGGGAGGGACAAATGAAACAAAATATTGCTGAGCCATTAAGGCTGGTTATCCCAGCCTGACTTCAACTATAACAGCTCCATTATGACCTGCTTATGTCTTGAAGTTCCAAATAAGACTGTACTTTTGGGATCTTCAACTCCCCAAAGTCAAGAAAGTTGGAGGGAAGTGTCAGATCCAATGCCATGCATTGTTAGACATGGACACATGGCCAGGGGACAGATTAGAAAAGGCTACATAATTCTCATGCACATGAACAGGGGAATTCAACTGGTTCCTTTAGCTCTCAGAGTAAGCTCACTGTAGGAAGCCCACTGACCCAGGACACACTGTAATGATGTTAATTTAATATGCATCAGTATCAGGCTCCTACCTTGCTAATCAGGGCAGGCGCAATAGTTTTATTGATGTGCTCAACAGCCTTTGAGACACCTAGAAAGAACAATCACATCAAATTGACATTAATTAAAAAACAGGCTAGAGCAACATTGCTGGAGAAAGCTATTAAAGATATCCAGAAGCCACCAGAAGACCTTCAATGGCACCTCGGTTTAAGTCCCCATCTCTCTTCCCCTCCCCAAATCAGTGGGCTTTCTGGCCCAATCTGAGTGCTCTGTCTTAGGACCCAAAAAAGTTAAGAGTCAGACATAGAACTACCATCTCAAAATGCTGGCAGGAAGTTAGTTTGCAAGGCCATGCACTGGAGTCACCAGCTGCAGAAAGATGGGAAGGACATCCATCCCATGTATTACCTGTGTGCACAAGGCTGGTGCCAGGAACTCATTAATATACTTAACGGGTCTGGAGACACCTGACCAGTGGAGATTGACAGAGAAGGAAAAAAAGACTCAGAAGAGAAGAGGCTATGAAGGACTCAGAGAGAGAGAGAGAGAAAAAAAACAGAAGGCAGGGAGGATAGTTCAGGGACCAGATTTATTTTCTGGTCAATATTTATGTATTATTTATTACTATCAAAGTACAACATTCTCTTGCTGTAAAGAGCCACAAAGTGTATGAGCAATGGTAGCAATGAAATTTTGATACCACAAATATCAGTCTTTGTAGCTCTGGACAGGAGTGTCATTTCTAAGGTCCTTTCCTTGCTGAGAATGTTCTAGTCCTTTCTGTCACTTAGCTACAAAGGTTCTACCTATAAGTTTAAAAAGTTACAAATACACTAAAAATTAGCCCACAGGCACCAGCTTTGCTATAAAGCTATGTTTCACTGAATCAGTAAGTCAAACAGCAGAATTGTAGGTCACCATGGGAGTGGTAAACTACCACGAGACCTTCCCTGGATACTTCCTCTGCATCAGACTAGACCCTTAAAAGAAGCTACCGGCCCTGCAAGGCCCCATCCTCTGGAAGGAAGAGGCCTTCTTATCCCCTGGACTCAGATAAACTATAATAAGAATAAGCATTGAAGCCCTTACATACGAGGTCAGCAGGAAGAATGACTGCAGCAGTACTGAGGCCAACTCTTACCTTTCCCCAGATACCTAGTCTTATCATTGTCCCGGAGCTCCAGAGCCTCATAGATACCAGTTGATGCACCACTGGGGACAGCAGCTCTGAAGAGACCTTGAAGTTGAGAAAGTGAAGAAAAAAACAGTTCCAATTTAGAAATGTAGTGGCAGTACTCACCCAACTGACTTCCTCTCCCACTCACAGATGGCACTGGTCTTCAGGAAATACTGTTACTTCCTTCTACCAGCTGGGAGATTGAAGTGGTCCACTTTCTCCACACTTGTCTATTTCTAGGATTCTGCAATGCAGACCCTAATGCAAAGCTGCTGTTCCAGTACAAGCCCCTGCAGATCCCACTACAAGGATAAGGGCCTGGAAAACCCAGTGTAGCCTGCAGCGGTCAGACCACACCTGAGCAGCTCTGTTCCATGAAGTGCAACCCTTTCATGGAATTGTAAACTTGATATGGAACTTGATAAGTAGTTCCATTAAAATGAAAACAAGCAGGAAAGAAATGTATTTTCTTAAAAAACCCAAAATTTTATTTTGACACATTAAGACACACAGAATCTTCTCCTGACAGAGAAGAAAGGGATCTCTCCCACTTTGGTGAAGAGGAAGCAGAAAGATGAAGGATATACTTTGGGACGGGGACAGCACCAGCCATGACTGAACTGAAGAATTTATGTGAGATAGGACTTGGCAGTGGTGAGGCCAATATTGCCAGGCCCAGGAACTTAGAAACATTTAGAGGCTCAAGGCTTAAGTTCCTGCATGCACATTTTGGGAGCTGTCTTTGTGTTATTAATTTGGATTAGATACTTTTGACTCCCCTGCACAAAGAAATACAAATATAGGATACCATAGATCCTATTTTTCATCAAAACCCAGTGTATATATCAATTATTGCATACACTGAGTCCTCAGCAGCCCTATGGATAGTGCAACCCTCAAGCACTGTTGGTATGTCACCTTAGGGACCTTTGAAAGCAGGCTGCCAGGTTTCAAGCCTTTACAGTGCTGGCTCAAGTGTGTTGAGGAATCTCTGCAGTTCATCTGTTTCACCTTGGTCAGTAATAAGCACTATTTTGGGAGCTCTGGTGTCATGGTGTCCAAAGAACTCAAACGCTAAATCAAAAAGCTGGCAGACTGAATTCACCAGCTGCCCTGTGGGGAAAAAGATGCAGTTCCTGCATCTATGAAGGCTATGAAGTCTTGGAAACCATGGGGCAATTCTCTGTCCTTTAAGTCAGAATCAACTCAATGGCAGTGGGTTTGTTATTGTGAATTCCTATACAAGAAGCCTGTAAACAAGATGGTCTGGTATTGGAGAGTGGGAGTATATGTGAAGGGAATAAGGTCAACAAGAGATACAAAGTACAATAACACTAAAAGCAATTAACTGTTGAGTGTCAGTCTCTCGTCCATCTTGCAGAGGTAGAAAACCAGCAATCTTTGAAGGGCAAATGACAAGCTAAAGAGAAGGAAGCAGGAAGTGTAAGCAACAGAGCCTCTGAAATTTAAAGGATTGCCCCATCTGTGGCATGTGAAAGCTGGTGAGTGGGAGGGGCGTGAAGACAAATGAAGAAACAGCAAAGTAAAAATCAATCAGATGATGTCTGTTGCCTAGGCCATGTGCGTGACTGTCCGTGGTAAGATAGGACACACACTCTTCTTGGAATATGTACTGGCTGCCCACGTATCCATGACGCACCAGGCCAAGAGAGGAAGTGATGAAAGGTTCTTAACAAATACACCCTTTGGATTTCAGAGATTCTGAAAATGTGACAGTGCCATGTATTTAGATCTCAAAAGTAATTTAAGTTTCACTGGTTCCCAAATGGAAAGTTCCACCCTGACTAAGCAAGACAGTCTGACTAGATGAAGGGAATTCTCAGCTTCTGAGAATCCATGGCATTTAGTCACAACGCACAAGCCCAGAAGAAACCACACGTGTGCTCAGTGAGTGACCTAAGGCAGGATGCTTCTGGTGCCACCGAATTGAGACACAGAATCCCAGAATCCCTTTTCCTGTGAGATGGGTGGGGAAGGCAGGCGTGACTCACAGGCAGGGATTCAGCTCTGACTGGTCATCCACGCACCATCAGTTGGTTCCTCCAGCTCTTTCCCTACCTCCCTACAACATCCATGACTATAAAATGGAGTCATACTGCTGGAGAGCCAATAGGCCTAGAGGGGGCTGAGTTATCTTCTGGAAAAAGTAAGGAGAGGAAAACAAAATATTGTGCCCCCCCCCATTGCTTCTGTATTAATTCCTAGTCATAGCAACCTTGTTAACAACCTTGTTAAGGAAGGTAAAAGTGCTGTAAGGTGCTTATGTCACTGCAAGGTGACAAACAACTAACTTACAAATGTGTTTCTAAGCACGGTTGTCAATTTAAAAGTGTGTGGCAACGTGTTAAGGGTTGGGGAGCCAAACAGCGTCGTTTTGAATGTCATCTAGGAGTGAAGAAGGATCTTGTGCTTTCTAACCCACTTCGAATACCACATCAATAATCACAATTAGTATGTAAAATCCAGAAAGAACCTTTCTTTTCCCACCACAGATGTTATTTTGCCAGAGGGCTCTATTATTTTATAATAGAGCACAGGTAAAAGAGCACAGAAAAAGTACACATACCTTTTGCAGTATAAAGATCAACCTCAACAGTGGGATTTCCACGGGAGTCAAAGATCTCTCTGGCGTGAATCTTTGTAATAGACATGGTGAATTTCTGTAGAGAAAAAACAGTTCATATCTTCCACAAGCCAGAATGGAGCCAATACTCATTCAGGGTCCTTTTTGTGTGTGTGTGTGTACACCGTCAAATCAGATCTGACTGGTACAGGAGGAGATTGTCCCTCCTTCCCCGGCAGAGCAGCTGGTGGATTTGAACCATGCACCTCTGGGATTGCAGTCAGGGTCCTATTTTGGAAGGCTCAAAATACAGGACAGCAAAGGCATGTCCCAGGGAGATGCCAAATCCACTTGGAAGGAGGAATGTGGTGATGTGGGACAGCTGAGGTGTGTGAGCTGGTTACAGTATATCATGAACAAGGAGGCTTTCATGAGAATGGAGAAGAGCCAAATGAAAATCACACAAAGAGTGGACAGAAAGCTCAGAAAAGAACCATCTAGGGGCAGAGAAAGAACACCAGGCTTGTTTGGGATCTATCCCATTAATTCAAACGTCTGAGGGAGCAGAATGTTCAACAGATACCCAGCTGGAAATGCTGGAACCATGAGCTCCTTGTCCTATTCTCTGTGATCTTCGCAACCACTACCTTCTGAATCTCACAGTATTTGGGTTTTTAGATAAGACACACACAAATGCTATCTACTCAGCTTTCTCCCAAAGGGTATTCCACCCCATTTCTAAAACTCACTTCTGAAATGTAAACAGTAAATCACTCTGACTTGTAAATAGAAGATTGTAAGATAAAGGGGTGGGGGAGGCCCTCTTTGGACAACATCCCTGAAAAGACAACACAAAGGGCAAACTGCTCCTCCAAATAAAAAAAAAAAACCCTTTCTTACTTTTTCTTTAGGCACTCTTAAAAAAAAGAATTCAACAAATATTGAAGTGGATTAGAAGAAACACATTAGTATTCAGAAACCATTATCTAGCTGGGCATCAATCCAATGTCTTCTCTGGAATGTTCTGAACCAGCTATTCACATAGTATCTTTTTAAAAATTTACTTTAAGTTGCAAAATTAGATACAAAGTCATTCTGGGCAACAATGTGTTTTGTTCATTAGCCAATATATTTTGCTTTTATACTATCTTAAAAAAATGTAAATTTGTCTATTTACAGCTATTCAGCATTTACATCTGAGGCAACTGAAAAATTTATGTATGAGAAAATGTGCTCATTTAGGTGTGTGATTTGAATTTCTGAGAATTCCTGCTACCTGTGTAGCATTTCCATTGTTTTTTAGTTCGTGATCAATTGCTCTTGTCCTCAGGAAACCAGACACACTTTGTCACCAGACTTTTAGCAAATTTTTCAATACAAATGTTTATGAAAATTAATAAAATATAATTATAGAAAGAAAAAAAGAAAAAAAAATACAAATAGTGTTAGAACCTAATTGATGGCTGTTATGTATTGTGACTTAGTGAACACCATGGTACAAGAGAATGATAACCCGATTCAGCTCTGTGCTAAAGGGTCCAATCTTGCTCACAAAAACCTTCCAGTGACCTACTTGCACGAACATGTCCTCCTCTAGAATCTGTCCTTCCTGTTAACTCATCCAAAGTACTGAGATCAACTGTAAGCTATAGTTCAGAAACACCATAAATCAGACTAGGGAACAAGGACAGGGAAGAGTAAATCTGTTCGTGATCACTTTTATCTGGACTGAACCCTGTACCAAGGGTAGAAGGAGTGGTCAGGGCAGTCTGGGCCGAAGTGGCCCGGAGCAAGTCAACCAAGGATCTACAGGTCCCAGGAGTCAGATCACACTCCTTAAGACAACAGAAAATTTTAATGCTTTTAATTTTTTTTTCCAATAGCACATCAGGGAACTCCAGGGCATAAGCAGGGAGGGGTGCGGGTCAGTCCCGCCCGACTTGGGCGAGGTCGCCTGTAAAGTTCCCAATTAATTATTCACCAGCTCTGCTGCAGTTTTCACCAAAATAACTGCTTTCGTGAAACTATAGGAGCCACTGCTTATGCCCAAGCTCGGAAGGGTAGGACGTCCTGAGTTGCGGGTCCTGAGGCACGAGGTGGGGGAGGGGAGAGCCACCGCTTCCCGGCCTCTTTTCTTCCCCCCCCCCCTTTCTTCTCAGCCCCGTCCTCCATTTTAGGAAGGGCCCTGCTTTAATTATCACCCTGTAACCTGTATCCTCCCCAAGAACCTCTAATTTAACTGATAGAGGCACATCACACCCACGGCTCCCTGCGTACAGTTATTCGGCCTTTTGACTCTGTCATCACGTGCTATTCAGCACTTTCCCCTGTTCAGAAAAATCCTACAGGTGGGCCTGGGCGGGCCATGCCTCTGGGCGCAGGAAGGACGGAGGCCCCCGCGGGGTGCACGGCGCGCATCCGAGCGCATCCAGGAGCTCGATCTGCCGAGCGCTCCCAGGGTCTCCCCCGGGCAGCCGCCAGGAGTCGGCGCGCCCGTCCCCGTCGGTCCCGTCCGACTCCACCCGCACGCCGCATCTCCGCGGGAAGGGGAGCCCCAAGAGTTTGGGTGAAGAAGCCCACCCGACACTGCATGGGTGCTCTCTCGGCAGCCTTAGCAGACGTATTTACCTGGGAGGCCGGTTCTCGTCACTCAGGAAAGCAGTGGAAGATGCTGCGGACACCGAGACGAGTGACTGAGCAAAGATGTGGAGGAGCAGCGACACGCAGGGATTTTCTGTCCTGCTGGCCTAGCACCGCCCACTTCCCGCCTCCCGGAATGCCGCCTCACCATTGGCTAAACACACTGTCGCTCTGAAGAGGGCGGGACTGGGGCTGCCGCAAAGACCCAAAAGTAGGGGGGCGACGCCTCAAGGACGAGACCCGGTTGGGCCCCTAGGGCCAGTGTCTGGGCGGGCCTTATACCCAGCGGGGACCCCTGAGGCTGAGGCCTGTGGAGCTGGGGCCGAGGGGGCGGGGTGGCGTGGCGGGCATGAGGGCTCGGAGCAATGGCACGTACTCCGAGTCGCACACGTACTCGGCGTGTCTCTGGCTCCGGGCGGCACGTCCTGCTACGACCTTGGTGACGACCTTCGCGGCACACCCCTTCCTGGCCCGCCCCCTCAGTCTCCCCGCCCCAGAACGCGGTGCGCTGGAGACCCGCCCGACCCCGAGCGTTGAGCAGCCACGCATAACCCTTCCGACCTGGATCCAGCCCGCGCCTGGCTCCGCAGCCTTGAGTGCTGGAGGCCACATGCGCTCGTCGCGCCTGCGCGCTGAGCTCCCCACGGACTCCTAACGGGATGGGTCACCCATTTTCCCAGCGCCAAGGTGACCCTGATTTTTCCTCCTTTTCACCTTGCTGCCAGTGTCTAATATTGAGAATAAGGCAAAGTAGCGGAAAGAAGGGTTCAAAGGTTCCTATTCTTTAAATTATAGTTAATACTTAACCAGGTAAGTATTATTCCTCTGTGCCAGGCACATCCTCATGTCCTTAAAAGTCCAATCAAAATCCCCTCAAAACTAGCCTTTCTAGTGGAAACCAGTTGACCACTGGCTTTATGCGGTTGTAAGTCACGTGGTGTTACTGAATGCAAGGGGTTCTTTGCATAGTCAATCGGGAATAAGACAAACGGATTGCAATATCCAAAAGCACTTTATTACCCAGATCTGGGAGACTGCTAGTCACCTCCAAGACTGTCTCTCCCTCTGGGAGTGATCACTGTGTTTTATACTAGGGTGAAACCCTAGCTCATTTAGCAATGCACTTCTGTCAGTTAAAAAAAAAAGTAATTTTTATATCTGAAAAGAATAGTTAGTATTTAAGTACTAGTAATTCAGGAGGGGCACAGTCCCCTTCCTGGTAAACAGGCAGATTAAGATACAATTTACATATAACTGGGAAACAGCCTCAGAGAGATCTAGGAGAGATGCACTTCCACTTCTGGTAAACAGAGAGATCAAACTACTTTACATGACTAAAGACAGGAAACAGAATTCAGAAGCTAAGTAACTAGTTTTGCAGGCTGAAGAAATAATGTCAGTTTTATAATTGATATAACTATAGTTCTATAACTGGTATATATCTAGAGAGAATTCGGAACTTATTAATACCACCCTGTCAGTGGAAGGAGATTGTCTTTCTTCCAAGGATCTGAACCACAGAGGCCAGCCTTGTGCATAATTCCTTAGGGACTAGACCACCAGGACCCCCCACCCCCACTCCCTCTTGCTTTACTGGTGTTAATTGATCCTCCAGTACCAAGCCAAACAACTTATTGCTGTAGTATCCACTGGACTCATAGTGATCCCACAGACAGAACAGAACTGCCCCATAGAGTTTCTAAGGCTGTAAATATTTTATTTTATTAAATTTTATTAAATTTAATGAACATTTACAGGGATTTTGGGTTTTCATTCCTTCATTACTGCACCATTTTCTCTACCCCCCTCCCCAGTTTGTTCTTCTTCCCCACCATCCGAATGTCTGTTTTAATTGTCCAATTGTAAGGCTGTAAATCTTTACAGGAGCGAACTGTCTCATCTTTCTCCCATAGAGCTGCTGGTGGGTTCAAATAGATGATCTTTTTCTAGCAGCCCAACTTAATTCAAGAGGCCTCCAGCGCTGCTCATTTTCTATGTCACCTTGGGCTGAAAACTTCCAATCCTTCCCTTTGCCTCTTTGGGGACTGGATGGATTTGTGTGACATATAAATGTAATGATTTGCAAGGGGAATTTACTAAACCGCAAAATAAATCTCAGTCACAGAAGGACAAATACTGCATGATGCCACTGTTATAGAAAGTGACTGACATCAGGGTTGGGATAAGAATGAGAAAAACTGGATAGATTATGTATACTGAATTGAAACAGATGAGTGAGAGAACAGTTTAAAAGTGATATATGATCGCATATTTTGATTATCACAGGAATCCAGAATTAAGGTTGCATAGTGGACTGCATTTGGGGGGTGTGTGTAGGGGAGATTGTATACCAACAAATAAGTTTATCTTTTGCTTTTCAAGGAGAGGAGTCAACTGGGGGGAGGGCGATAAAGAAAAAAATGTAACAATCAATGAATGAAAATCCAA